TTCTACTTCAGAATACGCGAATATAACACTTGGCTTGTCTTCCTGATTAACAGGGTTGTTGAAAAAGTATTTAAATATTGAAGAAAAAACTTTCGCTATTTAATTATGACAAAACCTCGTTTTCTACCTTAAAAAAACAAAGGAAAACAAACTGATTTCTATGCTAGAAATCACAGAATCATTAGAAATCAAGAGATTAGTTGGTTCTTCCTTGATAAAAACTCAATAGAAAGGTTCAGAACCATTTTTTTTTAGTTTCAAAATCTTAAAATCTTTTCAGTTTTAGAGAACGGCTTCGAAACACTGCAAAACCTTGTATTAAATCTTTTGAGCTGATCTTCATGCAATTTTCTAATAGGAATGACCTTCTAATACGCGAAACTTATTTTGTAAATCATATGCATCATTAAATGAATCACAAATCGAATTCAACTGCAATGTATCACTAGAGTTGAAGAAATTATGTTGTAGATTTTTTGTTCACTTTAGTCACAGTCAAAGATCTTTATTCAATGCCAATATACATAATCTATATCGCTAATTGATACTGTTTCACTCAAATACAACTATTTGGTAGATAACATTATCTTTAAGTCGTCTCTTTCTTCTAGTAAAGACAATAGTGGAATGGATAAATGTCATCTTTTACTTTTCAAGCTATTTACATAAAACTTGTATCATTTTTAGAACACTACTGTTTAGTAAGGCCTAGTTGAGTCGATAATATTTGCTAGATTTTTCTTGTCTTGTTTTTAGAATTAACAAGGGATGCATTATTAGTTTTTATCTATTCAAAATAGTTGTTTAACTTACCGAGCAAGACACAATGCGGAACTAAGAAAATGCATTGCTTTAACATAAAGTGTTAATTGTTCAGCACGTTTATATAAGTCATCAACATGACTAAGTCGATCCGCTTTTGGTCGAGAATAATTTTGACTGTTCTTATTATTCAAACTTAATGATTCTGTTAATAAACTTGAACGAGAACTAGCTAAACCTAAAATATATTCAACTAATTGAAGAATAAATTGAAGTTTGCTAAATGTATCATGATGTTCACTCTATATTAACAAAAAAGAAATTAGATTAGTCATTATTAAAATGAAACTTACATTCATTAAAGTATCATCAGTAATTTTTCGTGGTTCGTAATAGTAATCTTCAGGTTTTGAATCTCCAAAAATTGAAGTAACACGTTGATGATTTGGTTCTGGTGTTGTTAGTTGATCAGTATTTTTCGTAAAAATTTCAATATTATTTTCTTGTTCAAAAAGACGATCATTTGGATCTAAGAAAATTTACAAAAAAACCTAATTGATCAAATAAAATAGAAAATATTTACTATCGATATCAATTAATTTTTGTCGTGACTTAAGAGGAGATGTATCAAGATTTAATTTCGAATTGAGTTGTTTAGTAAGATTCGAATTAGAAACTGAATCTTGAATTGTTTTTGATGATTCTGGTGGACTTTTTTTACGTATTGCTGGTGATAAATTAAAAGGATTTGCTGCGATAGCAGTTGTATCAATTGTAAATCGTACAGTAGGTGGACTAATTGAGTTTGCAAGATCAGAATTGGACGAAGCAATACTTGCTCGACGAAGACGATCTATCGATGCACGTCGGCCTAATGAATAAATAGAAGCTTTATATATTTGTTTTACGAATATATGCTTATACCATCATATGGACTATCGTTTGGACTACCAGCTGCTGCTCCACCGAAACTTTTAGCTCTATCTCTTGATTCTTGCATTTTTTCAAAATTATGAACTTGAGTTGGAACAGGGATTGGCTGAGTGACACTGGAAACTCGTGTCTCTTTCACTGATGTAGTATTTTCGATGGCTGTTAATGCAAGATTGTCTGAACGTGATGATGGTGATGATGATAGATCTGTTTGATTTCTTAAAATCATATTTTATTTTATCGAAACGAGAATAACGGTTTCATTTGAAAATAACGACTATTACTTACAAGGTAACAACAGCTGGTTGCTCTTGAATTGTACGTTTATCTCGTAAAATTTGAGCAAATGATGTATGATTACCTAAAATTCTATAATAATAATAAATCATGATAAATATAATCATTCATACCAGTAAGAAGAGTTTTTTCAGTAGTACCCTGTTCTGGGATATGTAAAAATGTATCGGTTTTAACTGCAACTGGTATTGTTTGATTTACTGGGCGCTTAACTAAAGATTTATTTGTATTCATTGGTGAACTTGTATCAAATGATGGTGAATTGTTATTATTATTATTTTTTGATTGTACTGTTGGAATGGTAGTCGGTAGCATAACTGGTTCATGTTCAGGTATTGTTTCAATTTGACGATTGAATGGTCGAGAATTCATCTCATTCTTTAGAGAATCTATTAGATTTTTTTTAATTCAAAGATGAATTTAACTTACAATATTTTGTCCTTGAGACCATGTGCCGTCTCGTAATGTTGGTGAACTAATTACATTTAGATTGGATGTTTGTAATATATTTTCTGGTGGACCTAAAACAATAATTCTTATTTAATTCAAAAAAGTAAAAATTCATTTTGTTTATTTACTCTTTCTTAAAAATGGATGATTAAAAAACTCTTCAAAATCAATACGTTCTTTTGGATTACGTTTTAATATTCGTCTTAGTAAATCTGCTAATTCTTGTGATGTTGATGGAGGAATTCTAAAAAAAAAACAAAATATTCAATTCTATAAAAGAAGACAATAAGTGTATAAAACTTACACAGGTGATAAATTAACATTTCGTTCATAATATTGTTTAAGTGCTTGTGGTGTTTGAGCTTGAAATGGAGCTTTACCTGTTAAACATTGATACATTATTGTACCAACCGACCATAAATCAGCTTTTCCATCATATTGTAATGATCGAATGACTTCTGGTGCCATGTACATTGGAGAACCACATAATGTTCCTGCCATAACACCATCAGATAAGAATCTTGCAAAACCAAAATCAGCTATTTTCAATAATACGTCTTGTACACGTGGATTGGCTTTATCTGGATATGTTAAAAGAATGTTTTGAGGCTTTAAATCTCGATGAACCTGAAAGAATAAGATTAAATAATTATAATAAAGAAATAAAATCGAATACATACAACATTATGTTCATGACAAGCACGAATTGCAGCAGCTAAAAAGAATTTTTGAAGAATTGTCAAAAAAAAGAAAAGAAAATGAAGATTCTTGTACCTATTTGTCGAAAAAATATTGCAATTGTGTCTTCACTAAGTGTTTGTCTTGACTGAAGATAATCAGCAAGATCACCGCCATTGCAATACTCAAATAAAAAATAAATAAATACGTAAATATTTAATAGGAATTGATTAACTAACCTCCATCACAAGATACACATTATTTTGAGATTCCTATTAACAAGAAGAATAAAAAAGCAAACAAAAAAACACTTCATTTGAAATTTACTTTGCAATCGAATAATGCAACTAGATTTTCATGTTTAAGTTTTGTTAATTCCTAAATTTTGATTACACACAAAGATGATCAATTCAAATGTATTTACTTTAAGAATTTTAATTTCTTTTTCAAGTAAACTTTGGGATTTTGCCAAATGTTTTTTTGTTATTTGTTTTATAGCAACAAGTTGTTCCGGATTCTTTTTTTTTAAATAAATAAAAAAACAAATACGAAAAAAATATATAGTTAGATATTTACAGATCTCGAATGGCCAAGAAATACAATAGCAAATGCACCATGTCCGATCAAATCCCGTTTGCTATACTGATAATCACCGATTATCTCAGGCATTTCTGGTTTAATCTATTTTTAAAATGTTAATAATAACCAAAAAAAAAATAAACTATCATCTAGAAAAAGAGAAAAAGAAGTAATGCTTTACAATCAGAAACTGCTGTAATATAAGTTTTCGTTCGCATAGGTGTGCATCTATTACTTCAACAATCATGTCTATACTTCTCTGTCAATAGATTCTCCCTAATCTATCTAAAAAAAACGAGTGTATAATTATCCACCGCGTCGATAATATTACTTTTATGTGCTCGTGTGCGCGTGTTCGCGTAGGATATCAAGAACACGATGCAATCAGGCAGCAGCTGAATGTGTATTGTATAAATAATAGAGAAGAAAAAAAAAAGGGGAGAAGAACGAATAAAAAAAATTGAGATCATGTGACGATAGTTTGCATACCAATTTTTTTTTTTGGTGTTCTCTTCGTATTTAACAAGATTGTAATGGCAAAACAACGAAAGTTTACCGTACTCGTTCACGCGAAATGACGAAGTTGAATGGTATCGAGAGAATAGAGAAGAATTATATAGCATATTAACATTCAAAATAAACTTTGTTCTCTTGTTACTGCGTAGAATGACTTATTAAAAAATGTTCAATTGATGCAACAAGTGTTGAATAGAATACTGGTTGCTTTATGAATCTCTTGATAAGTTGCAATATCGTAAAAATAAAATGTAGTATATTAAATGTTTCGATGAAATATAAGTTCGTATGCATAATGTTTTGACAAGTATACATTTCAAGGACGAGAATAAAATGTGATACTTACTTAAATAAGGATAGTAATAGACAAACATACATGCTTTTTTGTCTGTTGATGCATAAGCAAACAATCATTGTACGCGATCATACAATGCTTTTTTCTCCTATCCAATCCCACTCACTATACGTGAATCACCCATACCGAGCTTCTTTTTGAGATTCATCTACTAACTGTTGAAGTTAAAGTGACTCTTATTTTTTCTGTTTGAATACAGTCAGGTACATTTTTATCTCTGATTAGTTTCAACACCCAAACAAACACATTTTTTAGTAGCCCATTCACCTCATTTTTATACTATTTGTTTATGAGTAACATAAAAGAAAAATTTATTTTTTCTTTTTCTTTTCATCTAAAAACCAAGATAGAATTTTAATGTTACCGAAACAAGAAAAATTATTATAAATGAACGCACAACAAGAATAAGAAAAAAAGAATGTTTAGTCATTTAGACATAAATTCCCACCCATAAAAGGAGAAATAAACCACCATAACCGAGAAAAATTGACGCAATACTAGAAAAAAAAACGTAATAAATCATAGAATCAAAAACATTCTTACAGAGCAATCAGAATTTCCTTTTTCCAATCACGTGTATATTTTGTACTCGTTACTTCATAAACAAAAAACCAAGCCATTAAAAAAACTCCTATACCTATAACAATAAAAAAAAAATATTACTTTTATTATTGATTTACTTTTGAGTAGATTTCTTCATTTACCTAAAAGTGCTATACTAAGAGTTGGAAAAGCAGTTGGATTAACCGGACTAACATATCGACTCATCTGATCAACATTTAAACGTACCATTTTTTTTTAATGATCTAAAACAAAACAAACTTTTTTTATTTCTATAGTTCTACTGAAAGACATATAGCAATAAAATATCATAACAAAGACTATCTGGATTTTGCTAAATATTGTTTAGCAAAGTCAATTCCTTTTTGAATATTTGCATTAAGCTCTGGTTTAGCTTTTTCAATTAATTTTGTTTCATACTCAGATAATTTTCCTACACCAATACTCGTTTCCACTCCATTAGGCTAAACATAAAAGTGAATATAAAAAAACCAACCAAACAAACAAAAAGTCTAAACATACGCCAAGAAGAAGTGGTGTAGAAAAATATTTAAATTCTGTTTCTTTTGATGCTACGTAACCACATTCAATAGTACCTGCTTTACCATTTAATGCATCAAGAATTGAAAATGAAAATCTTGCACCAGCATGTGCCATTGATAATGTTGCACCACCAATACCAGCTTTAGCTTCTACAACTTCTGTTCCAGCATTTTGAATACGACTAGTTAAACTATCTAATTCTTGTTGTGAAAATGAAACTGGTGGTGATATTTGAGAAAATAACGGAATAATTGTATTTCCTGAATGACCACCAATAACAGGAACAAAAACTCGTGATGAATCAAGACCCTTGAATAACAATAGATGAATAGTTGAATTTTAAAGAGAAACTTCTCAAACAAACTTTAGCTTCAGCAACAAATGTTGCAGCTCGAATAACATCTAATGTTGTAACACCGATAATTTTCCTTTCATCATAAACATTATATGCTTTCATAACTTCAGTAGCGATAGGTACTGTTGAATTAACTGGATTAGCAATAATGGCAATAATTGCTCGTGGACAATTTTTTGCACATGCCGAAACAAGATCAGCAACAATTGTGGCATTTGAAATAAACAAATCATCTCGTGTCATACCTTCGAATAAAATATTCTTTTCTTTTATCATTTAAAGAAAATTATTCACCAGGTTTTCTCGGTACACCAGCTGGAATAAGAACCAGATCCATGCCTTTTAGTGCATCAACTAATTCATCTTTAGCGACATAAGCTTTAACTTTAACTCGTGTTTCAATATGACTAAGGTCAGCTCCAACACCTTTTGTATGTTGAATATCATAAAGAGATAAATCACTGATCAATGGACTTAATTTAAGTAATAAAGAAAGTGGTTGTCCAATGCCTCCACTAGCACCTAAAACAGCAACTTTTTTCTATCGAGATATTAAAAGAGAAATTCAGATTATAAATTTGACTGATTTTGGTTACATACAGGTTGAACTGCTTGTGATAAAGTTGATGCATAACGAATAAGTTTTGGCGTAAAAGATGAAACGAAAGACATGAAGAATGCTGAAGTTTTGTTCATCTTTTAAGATTTACAAGCAAAAAACTACATTTAGTTCTATTTCATGGTTATGAGCTGGCGTTGAAGTATTTAACCAATCAGATAAAGCGCTAAGTTGAATATGTGTTATTAATAAATTATATATTGGAGAATTCATTGAAATAATTTTTATAAAATGAAATTAATCATATATTTAACAAGAAAAAAAAAAGATTTATATTTTGAATAAAACGATGAGAAAGGTCTTGAAACAATTTTTGATAGGGCCATCACATAAATCAAACGCGCTCTATCGTGATTGGGGAATAGGCTATGGTACAGTGGAACAAATAAAATGCGATCGTCAGTTGAAAAACATTAGATATTGTTCTTAGTTACATAGTTGTTCATATACATTTTCAGATTAACTCGAAAATGTTCTCCTCTGCAGTACTATTTGCCTTTGGTATCATTGCATCTGTAAATGGATTTTATAGTGCAAATGATGATGTTATTCAACTTGACGCAACAAATTTCGATCGTCTTGTTATACAAAGTTCTGATGTATGGTTTATAGAATTTTATGCATCATGGTGTGGTCGTAAGTATTTACTTAATAATGATACTTTTTTCAATTGAATTGTTCATTAGATTGTCAAAATTTGGCACCTGAATGGAAACGTGCTGCAACAGCATTGAAAGGTATTGTTAAAGTTGGTGCTGTTGATGCTGATACACATAAATCACTTGGACAACAATATGGTGTATCGGGTTTTCCAACGATTAAAATATTTGGAGCAAACAAACGATCGCCAACAGATTATCAAGGTGGACGAACAGCTGATGCTATCGTTGAACAAGCTCTTAGTCAACTGAGAACTATTGTTAACGAACGTTTGGGAAAACGAGGAGGAGGAGGAGGAGGAGGAGGCAGCAGTGACGGAAGTGGTGGAAAAGATACTGTTGATTTAACAGATAGTAATTTTCAGGTAGTTTATCTTGATTTGATGAAAAAAAGAATCATTTGATATATTCTTTTTATTTTTAGTCAACTGTTCTTGATTCAGAAGACGCATGGCTTGTTGAATTTAGTGAGTATTTCATTTGAAAAGTTTTATAATTATCTACTATGAAAATGATCAATTTTTCAGAACGGTAGAGCTCTAAAATTTCTTGAATGACGAAAACTGACAAAGTTTAGTCAAATTTTCTAGATTAAAATAGTGATACTAATCGAAAGTTACACTACATGACCGAACTGATTCGAATTTGATTTTGAGCATCTGAAAAGAAGACCATTTGATACTACATAGATTCTTATATAGAAATAAGGTCTGACAAATTTACGTATTATAATAGATGATGATTATGAATACTGTTAGCAAAGTTTGAAGTTCGAAATCGCGATACATTCGTCTATTTGCTAGAGTTTAATTTGATAACGCTAAAAACAAAAAAATAAAAATTTGTTCTTTTTTTTCCTTGACTTTCTCTTTCTCTCGTTTATTGGTTGTTTTATTTATTGACAACACTGAAGAAGACGCTTTCGACAAAAAACATTTAAAAAAATATCAGCAAATCAATCTTGATATTTTTACAAGATAAGTGTTTTCATTAGAAGAAAACTAATCAGCATGGTTATAAATAAACTTTATGACACTGAAAGGATTCAACTGTTTGATTATCCAGAGGTTTACTTCCGAAAAAAGAAATCTACAATAATTACTATACAAATGATAAATCCTACTTTATCCATGTACTTTGAACATCTTAAGGTTAAAGCAATTAGTAAAAAAGAATGCTTGCGTTTCTATTGTCGATCTATTGAATAATAATTTTAACCATTTTTGTCTCTTCTTTTTTTTAGTGGCTCCATGGTGTGGGCGTAAGTATATACATCAAAGATTTTCAAACTTTATTTTTCATATATTCTTTTTATAGACTGCAAGAGTTTAGCACCTGAATGGGCTCGTGCTGCAACAGAATTAAAAGGTAAAGTTAAACTTGGTGTTGTGGATGCAACTGTTCATACTCAATTGGCTCAACGATATGGTGTACAAGGCTTTCCAACCATAAAATTCTTTCCAGCCGGTAGAAAAGATGGCCAAGCAGAGGATTACAATGGTGGACGAAGTTCCAATGTACGTATTCATTTATTTTTCTTACATAAACTAAAAAACAAGGTCTATTTGTTTTTTTATTCAATAGGATATTGTTGCTTGGGCTTTGGATAAACATCAAGCAAGTACTCCTCCACCTGATGTATTTGAAATAACTGGCCAAGCTGATTTAGATAGTAATTGTGCTGAAAAACAATTGTGTATAATATCATTTCTACCCAATATACTTGATTGTCAATCAAATTGTCGTAATGAACATATAAGAATGTTGAAAAAATTCGGTGAAAGTTATAAACGTAATGGTTGGGGTTGGTTGTGGGTTGAAGCATTTCGTCAACCAAAACTTGAAGAAAGTGTTGGTATAGGTGGTTTTGGTTATCCAGCACAAGTTGCAGTTAATGCGCGAAAAGGAAAATATGTTGTATTGAAAGGTGCATTTAGTGAAACGGGTATTAGTGCATTTTTAAGAGAATTATCAACGGGTCGTTTAACAAGTCCGCTTGTACCATTAAGTGGTGTTGCGGATGGAAAATTACCAACTATTGTTGATAGTGAACCATGGGATGGTAAAGATGGAAAACTAGATGATGTTGAAGACATTGATCTTAGTGATGTTAATTTCGATGACGATGATGATTTTGATATGAAAAAGGAAAGAGTTGATTTATAATTTATTATTTATCTTTGTATAAACAACTACAACGCAACGGAGATGACACACATACACTCATAATGGACATTCCCTCTGTGCTTTTTATTGTTGGTCTTTTTTTTTCTGTTTTTTATATGTGTATGTCGTTCACTTTAAAATTGTTATGGTTTTTTTGCATATCTAACGTAGGTTAATAAAAAACAACATCGCATTGAAATAGGTCTATATGTTTTGTCGTTGTTAGTTAATTCATCATGAATTTCCGGGTTACCATAACCTAATTGATAATAATGAGGTGCTCCTTCTGTTCCGTCCCAGTTTTTTTTTCTGTTCTACTGAACAACACTGAATGTACTTTGCCCTATAGTTGTGCATTCTCTTTTTTCTTTTTCTTTTCTTAGTGCAGTATCTTTTTTTTCTTTTTCGTTCTTTCTTTCGTCCGAGTCGATAAATCACAGAGCTTTCTTTTTCTCGTCAGCTCTTGATAGTAGCGCTGTTTTTCTTTATTATGAAAAAAAAAGTTTGTGTAGGCGTATGCATGTGTAATGTGAAGAGAAACACTTTCTGTCTAGTTAACCTTTTTAACATCTTTTTTATCATTATTATTCTTCCGACAAAGTATTTATTTGAGAATGTAGACTTTTATATTTCTAATGATTTTTAATAGCTCCATTATATATCCTTATATTTCTTGATAGTTGATCATAAAATAAACAAATATTATCTACCTGTTCGAACTTTTAATTATATTTTTCTTTTGGTGTGCTGGTACAGCTATTATATATATGAAGCATTGATCACTTGTTTTTTTCCTGAATGACTACGATGATCATGACGATGACAACGATCACGTAATTAGTTTTTTGAATAGAAGAAGCAAAATAGCAAGAAGAAGTATATTGATTATAAATGACACGGCAGACCATGTGAGTGTCCTGTCAACAGGCAGCATGTTGTACCAAACACTATTACGTTCTATTAATCAATGTAGTGTGCCACAAAAAATGAGAAAGCCATTTTAGTTTCTAGAAAAAAATACCTTATTGTTTAGATATAAGAAATAGAAAAAGGAGAATCTATTTATTGATATTTTAGATCTATTTATATGTGTTCATTGTCCGTCGTTCACGTTTAGATTTCTGTCTACTCGGCACGATCATTATCAACTCAATCATCAAGCCTTCAGGTCAGTATTTATTCGTTTATCTTTGATTTTTCAATCGATAGTTGTTCAAATTTATATACAACCACTTGATGTTAATCAATCATCTAAAATAAAACACTGAATGTAAAGTTAGCTTGATTATAATATCGATTATCATCCAATTCTTTTGACGCATATAGATAGATACAGATGTCTCGAATAATTTTACGGCAGAAAACTCGTTATGTACACATACTTTATAGAAAAAATACTATACCCAGACGAATACCATAGTATCAATAGCGTCTTTCAGTGACCGATATTTATTTATTCTACTCTCCATCGTTCTCTTGCTGCCATACACATTCATAACATAGAAGTGTGTTCGTACGTGTTAACAAGATGTCTTATTTTGAATTGAAGAGATCTCAATTTTATACGTAATAAACATGTATTATGTGTTAAACGTCCTGAAATTATTAAAAGTATCCCACTGCGTCTTATTTTTTGATCGCAGATGTAAAAGTAATCTGCATTATAAAATACTTTAAAGCTCCAGGTACACTTTACAATAGTTTGTATGACTGATGCATTTCATGTTCAGTTCAATAATATGTTTAAGATCAATAATGAATTCTCTTTTTCATATTGAATTGAACCGATATAGAATACTACAATTGCATAAGTTATAATTAAATAACAAGAATGAAAAGAGAGTGTGAGAGAGAGAGAGAGAGAGAGAGAGAGAGAGAGAGAGAGAGAGAGAGAGAGAGAGAGAGTGAGTGAGAAACAAAACACTTGAAAAAAAGGAATTATAAGTGTCTTTTTTTTTACGACTATATGAAACAAATCTTAAGAAATTTCATTTCTTTTCTTTTTCTTTAGGTAGCTAACTGTCGATGTCCAAAGTTCTTCCAAGGTTTATTTATTTGAATATTTTAAAATCATTTTTTTTATTGATAAAATTAATTTAGATAAATAAAGTATTAATCATGCAATCATTAGCTATATATGCTCGATTAGTTGCACGTGCTGTTAGTGGCACCGAAGCTGAAAATTTTTTATATAATAGTTTATTACGTTTATCAACATCGTCGTCTATTCATAATTCTCAATCTTCCAATCGTCCAGCTATATCATCATCACCAGCAATAACACGTGCTGTACATCTAGTCACTGTTACATCCGGTTATTCAGGTCATGATGATGATGAAGATGAAAAAGGACATTTAGAAAAAAAAAAGAAATCATCAAAGATACAACGAACAAATCGATCAAATGTGTTTGGTGATGATGCATTTTTTATAGCTAAAAGTCGTATAGGAGATTTTCTTGGTAGAAAATTGTTTATTTCAATAAATAAGATTTTTCATCCTTTTTAAATTCAGGTGTTGCCGATGGTGTTGGTGGTTGGCGCGAATATGGTATTGATCCATCTTTATTTTCAAGTTCTCTTATGGAAGCATGTAAATCTTTGGTTGATAATAAACTTCTTGATTTAAATCCTTTAACCTTAAAAGAATTACTTTCAAAAGGTTATAAGCAATTATTAGAAGATAAACAATGTATTATTGGTAAAGAAAATCTGAAGAAAAAAAATCTTTTTAATAAAGTTTTATTGTTTTTTTTTTCTAGGTAGTAGTACCGCATGCATTGTTGCATTACATAAAGAAAAAAGTATTTTACATACAGCAAATTTAGGTGACAGTGGATTTGTTGTTATAAGAAAAAATGCTATTGTACATCGGTCACAAGAACAACAACATTATTTTAATTCACCATTCCAGTTAGCTATACATCCGACAATTAAAGATCCAAATTTAATTGCTGATAGGTAAAATTAGTACTATTTTTCTTACTAAATATTATAGTTTTTAAGCTTTCAAAAATCGATAATTTAAGGGTAAACATTATTTTTTGAATAGATTATTTTTGCATTTAATTTTCATACAAAAAATAAGAAATAAAATATTAATTTTTGATTTATTTAGTCCTGATGTGGCATCGGTTACGTCATTTAATGTTGAAGAAAATGATTTTATTGTTATTGCAACTGATGGTTTATGGGATAATTTACCAGACTCAACTGTACTTGAAGAAATTAAAAAGATTGCAGTAAGTTTATTTGCTTTCAAAAATTTGAAAAGAAGAAAATATCATCAAATGATGAAATAGAAATTCAGAAGTGATTTTAATCAAGACTTGTATCTTTCAAGTAATTGCTGATTGTTATTCGTGTATTTTTTTTAACTAAACGTATATTGTTGTACAAAATCGAAGAAAACATATGCAAACTAAAAAATATCACACATTGATACAGTGTTTATATTTGTTAGTAATTTGTGTCGATACTATGAGTAATGTATTTGATATGTAGTCTAACACATTTGTTTTTTTTAATTACATCAAGGTCGAAAGCATACAATGAATGCCTAACATTCATTAGTAATTCGATATCAATACTAAATATCTCTTACACTGTCTTATTGTTGATTGATTCATCAGAACAATGTTATATAAAAGAGCAGAATTTTAGTCATATAGATAGGAGCAAAAAAAGAAACACAACGATGTGTGATGAATCTTTTGATAATAAAAAACTATGTTTATTGTAGAAACCAACATTGGATAATTTACAACAAGTTGCACATGCTTTAGCTAAACGTGCATTGGACAATGGACATGATCCACATTTTTATTCACCATTTGCTAAAAGTGCTAGAAGATCATTGGGCATCAATATTTGTGGTACGTAATATATTTTATAAATGTAATTTTAAATATAGTATAGTATGGATTATTTTTTCTGAGCAATTTAAAAAAATAAAACTGACACTTTTTGCATTCAGATTTAAAAAGTTCAATTTGCACTCATTCTTTGTTCTTAGCTGATAAACATTAATTCTATTTGTCGATAAGATTTTATGTCTGATATGTCATATAAGAAAAAAGAAAGAAAAAACCTATGACTAGAGAGTAAACAATTAAGAAAACATTACAATTCTCAAAAGTTTTATTTTATTCTTCGTTTTAGGTGGAAAACCTGATGATGTCACAGTATTGCTTGCTGTTGTAACATCAACAGGTTGATTAATCTTCAACGAATGCTGAACGTGGTGCTATATGTTCTCCTTTTGTTAAATCTAGTCGCAAATCATCAGAAATAAACATGTCTGTAGCATGTACGTTTAGAATTCGACTTTCATGAATGTTATTATGCCATAAAGTTTTCTGTAATTGACTCTATAGTCAATGTATTACGGCAACAGATTTGTTGTTATTGTTCATTTTCTTTATCTTCTTATACAAATTTACCCAGCACGTACTATGTATGTAGTTCGGAGATCGTTGATTGTTATTCATTCTGTTTTTTTCTAGTTTTTCTCATACTCATCATTCAAAGAAAAACAAAACAAATAATAGAGTTGATTATTTGTAGACATGTTAAATCAATCTGAAGAATTTATTAAGTTTTGGTCAAAAATATTTGGTCGATTTGATAGCGAGAATATTTAACTACACTCATAGCACGATTTCATAATCAAAAACACAATCATTATCAAATAATTTTCAAGATCAATTTCATATGAAAATATCGGTTCAATAGGAGTTCAATATTGAATAATAAGTCATTTTAAACAAAGATATCTCTCCGAATTCATAACAAATCGTAATCAAGAAATACTTTTAATTGAGAGTGAATCAATTTTAGCATATATGTTTTTTATTAGCACATATCGACGAACATATGTATGTCGGCAGATAAAGCTGATATATTGAAACCTTTATTTCGTATGTAACAATCTGTTGAATTTTTACCTGAGTTTTGTAAACAATTTAATTGAGAACTCGAGTAATTTTTAATATAAATAGTTAAATGTGGAGCTGATTTGAAGCAGTATTTATTTCAAATTAAAAAAAAAAACTATTCGAGCATTTAATGAATTTATCATTGAACTTGCAGACTTCTTAAAAAAATTTGAAAATATGTAATTAAGAATAGCCGAATAACAGAAATAATTCTTCAAGTGAACCATTATTAAAACAAAAAAAAATATGTGTGTTCGAAAGTATTAAAGTGAAACTCAGCGAAAAGTGAAGAGATAAACGAAATTCTTTAAACGACGACAGTTTACTTTAAATTTTATGACTAAATATGACATTCAGAAATATCTATAAACTTCGAGAGCCAGATATTTCCACTGGAACAATATGAATCAGCATTCGTCATAGTTGCATCAGTTTCATTGTGTATAACACCTTACACTTTCAATATTGT